GCGGAGTTCCTCACCTCGCTCTCGGCCGGGAGTCGGGCCAGGTGGGTAGGCCCGGGGAGGGGAAAAGGGTCGGGGGAGGGGGCGGGGAAAGGGGGGGACCCCTGGTGCCGTGTAGCTTCGGAGCAGCTCCCTCCGCCGCCGCAGCCGCCGCCTCCTTTCCAATTCACTCAAACAAACAAGATGGCTGCCGTTACGCCGCGGCTCTTCCGGCCGCCCAAACCCTCGGTTCAAATCGACAGGATGTTTACGGTCAAAATTGTACCTGTGCGCCTGCGCAGTGCGTTGAAGCGCTGGAAGGCGCGGCGCAGGCGCAGTGACCACTTCCTTTTCATGGAACTCCGCCCTCTGCCTGGGGAGGGGGGGACCTGAACTGAGCAAGCGCAAAGGTGATGCATTTGCCCTGAAATTGCTTTAAGATGTATGCTTTCGCTTCGTTACTACAGGATCACTAGAATGAATTTTTGTCTCAGATGCACCCAAAACTGTACGATTCCCTCCTGGGAATTAAAATTCCCTCCTGGCTAAGATATCCAAGAATACTTGAAAACCCAAATAGTTACTTCACTGGCGTGCATTGCGCGTGCGTTAATTTCATAAACGGTAGGGAGTTATTCATGCAGACCACCAATGTCTATAGAATTTCCTCACAATGGCTAGTTAGGCTGTTAGTATGATGACGAATACAGCGAAATCAGTACCGGCTCTTATGATAAGGAAGCTTCCTAATATTTTTTTACAAGTACTGAGCCCTGGTGGTGATACCTGGTTGTTGCTAACCCCAAGATGAGCAATTCGAAAGCACCTGCAGGTTTGTAGGAGAAAGAGAAGCCTTTCTATTTCTATGAAAGATTTACAGCCTCTAAAACCCACAGGGGCAGTTCTACCCTTTCCTATAGGGGCGCTATGAGTAGAATCGCCTCGATGGCAGTGCATTTGGCTTTTGATTACTTGCTTGTGCCAGATAGGGAGGGAGACTTGAGTGTGGAGAAGGCATGCAGAGGAACAGAGAACGGAGTAAGTTTTCCTTCTGGAACTGATCGTGGAGCTGGGATGTAAAGGTTGGCATGTTAATACAAGGAAGCTGGATCAGTGTTGAAAACAGTTTTGGGGACCCATACTTTGACCTTTGCAAAAGCCCTGTGGCCAAATGCGGAGGTTGTTGGTTGTTGTCCAGTGTTTTCCAATGTGGCGACCCTGTTTGTACAGGGTAGAATTACACTCCATACGATTTTCAAGGCTGTACCCTCTCACAAGCAGATCACCAATCCTTTCTTCCAAGGCACCTCTTGGTGTGTTTCAGCTACCAACCTTTGGCTGGTAGGTTCAGTCAGTTACAGTTTGCTCTACCAGGAACAGAAAGCTATGTGGCTGGGTCCACAGGGTGACTTCTCTGTTTTGGAAAGATTGCCCTGACATATTGACAGGGGTACAGTGGGCATGCAGATGCAACTGTTCCTCAGTTAAGGCTTTTGTTTTTGTTCTTAAGGAAATAAAACAATGGGAACTGTGGCTGATTTCTTGTGGGAGAGAGAGCTAGCTGTATGGATCATTCCTGTGTCGGGTATTTGTAAAGGAGCCCTGGTGACCTGTTGGGTAAACGTTAGACAGCTAACCACAGGGTTAGGGGTTCATATCGACTAGTAGCTACTAAGGGAAAGATGAGACTCCCCTTGAAAAGATTTATATCCTCAGAAATCCCATATAAGATCCCTAAAAGTCTGCAGGAACTGGAAGGCTGTGGGTTTTTGAGGGAGCAGGGTTTTCAGAATTGGGGGGTACTCTAGTGTGGTGCTGCCCACCGAAGCAGAGCACATGGAATGAGAGTCGTGAGGTTTTGTGTTTGTTCCGCATTTTGGTCAGCCACCTCAATGTCCATCTCCCTCCCTCTGCTCCCCCCACTGTTCTCCCCACCTCTGCTCTCTCGTTACCAATTACACACCTTACAACAGGAAATGCCGTGTCTGCCACTTCCACACAATCTGTTTAAGTATTGTTCAACTGATAATGGCCTCCTAAAAATAATCTGTCTCCTTAGGGCTCTCGGGGACCAGGCAACATTATATGGTGAACTCTTCTTTGTGAACTTTTAAAGTTCATTTGAAATCTCTCTTCATTTGAAACAATGATGAGATGAGTGTGCATTTCCAATACCTGTCTCTCTTATGTTATATTAACTTTTAGAATGTTTTTGGCATTGGAGTCCTGTATATTTCCTCTAAATCTGAAGAAATCCCATTTGGTCTTCTTAACTTCTTAACAGTGGCAAGTTTTAGAATGTTTTTGGCATTGGAGTCCTGTATATTTCCTCTAAATCTGAAGAAATCCCATTTGGTCTTCTTAACTTCTTAACAGTGGCAAGTCTGATAATAACATTGAGATCTGCAGCCTTACTTTTTCCGCTATGACATTCATTTCTTTATTCTTGAGGATGGGTATGATCATGAATTTGGGGCTCACTTTCTGGTTTTCAACCTCCCAGAGAATCTACCACACACAATTCTCCTAGCTTCTCTGGGATTCGATTTCTTCATCTGGAAACGTGTGAGACTACTGACTGACTTTCCAAGATTGTTCTACACATTACATGAATACTTGTGTAAAAAAAATGCTTTGCCTAATGCTAGGAGCTGAGAGATTATTCATTCGATGAACAGTGGAGAGTTTTCTGGTTCCTTCAATTGTCTGAGAAATGAAATATCAAGATATGGCAAATGACTATCAAACATTCAACTTTTAGCAACACCTGCAAGTAGTTGGATCACCTAGATGCCCCATGCTGATGATAGCTTGCTCTATATTCATTTTGCTCTAACTTGTATTCTCTCTCCCACAAGCAGCCCACACTGAACCCCATAGCACACACTTTTTCTTTCTCTACAGCCATGTGTTCTTATTCAATCACTGTCTACTCCCAGACCATCTCCCTAGTCCTTGGGTTTCTTTATAGAGAATGCTAGTTGCCTAAACTTGATACATTGTACTCTTTTGAACAAAATATGTGCTTTGTTCCATCTCAGACTCCCATCCTACCAACACAGCCACTCTTCCCCTTGTACTAAAGAAAAAGTCAAATATGCATTTTCTTTTGGCAAGTTAGCTGTATGTAGCATAAAGAAAATACCTCTTAAAGCTGTGAATTTGACCCTAGCTCCACCACTCCCCTGCAATTACCCCTTGAAATAAAGCCCTCTCAGCTGACAGCAGTATTTCTGCTCTATGGCAGAACTTATTTGGTGGATGTGCATTTCTAGTCATGTGTTAGAGCTTTAATTCTGAGCCCTAAATTTGCAGAAGGCTATGGTTAGACGGGAAGCTCTGAATCAATTTCTGAGTTCCCACGGCCTCCACTGAATTCTTTCTCAATCTTTAACCAGCCACATAAATAGCTTTGCCCTCAAGCAGCGTACATTAGAAAGTGGGTTACCTTGACCATTTTAGCCAGTCCAAGAGGGGCACTCTGGACTTTTGGGACTTGTCTGAGTGTGCCCTTATTGGAAGTTGGGGGTCTAGGGTAACATAGTCATGAACCATATCCTACATGCCTTGTTGGAGAGCCTCTGAAGCAATATTGTAAGCCCTTCTGTCTAGCGTAATGTACCTGTCCCAGTCCCAGTCCCATTCCTGCATCTGTAGTTTGACCTGCAACTGTGATGCCTTGATCTGCATCATCATGCTTTTGTGGGTGTGCTCTGTATTGTTGGTGTTGTTAGGTGCCATCGAGTCGGTTCTGACCCACAGTGACTCTATGCACAACAGAACGAAACATTGCCCGGTTCTGTGTCATCCTCACAATTGTTCCTAGACATGAGCCCATTGTTAACAGGCACTGTGTCAACCCATCTCTGAGGGGGCCTTCCTCTTTGTCCCTGCCACACTCTGTATTATTGCTTACATTCTGAGCACCCACTTTGCAGAAGGCTATGGATGGCAGTGAAAGCCTCCAAGTTCTTTACAGAGTTCTCCAGTGGGGTAAGCCTCCCTTGAATTCCTTCTGGCCATTAACCAGGTCTGTAAACAGGTAAAGTTCATTGCAAAGTGTATTAACTCCACCATCCTTTTCTGACAGTTTGTACTGTGGTGTCTTCTGTGGTGCTGTAATGCTGAAAGTTATGTCACCAGTATTTCAAATACTATCAGGCTCACTTAAAGTAAATAGGTTTGAGCAGAGTTTCCAGACTAGGAAAAGACTAAGAAGAAGGAATAGGCTGTCCACTTCTGAGAAATTAGCCACTGAAAACCTTATGCATAACATCAAAACATTGTCACCTTTAGTGCTAAAGGTGAAGAAAATTATGAAAAGCCGTATGAGTAAAAGCAGAATACTGACAGGGCACCAGAGGATGAGCCCCTCTGGTCCGAAGGCACTCAAAATATGGCTGAGGACGAGCTGCCTTCTCAAAGTACAGTCCACCATAATAACTCTGATGGAGTAAAGCCTGGAGGAGCAAAACCTTCAGGACCTTCATTTGCTGATGGAACACAACATAAAATGGAAAGAAATAGCTGCAAACATCAACTAATAATTGGAACTCGGAATGTATGATGTATGAACATAGGAGGTCATTAAAATACAGTAGGTCATTCGAAATGAATTGGCACACATAAAGGTTGATATCCTAGGCATTAGTGAGCTGAAATGGACTGATGTTAACCATTTTTAATCAGAAAATCATGTGGTTTACTATGCTAGGAATGAGAGATTCAAGAGGAACCAGGTACCATTCATTGCCAAAAAGGACATTTGAAGCTCGATCTTGAAGTACAATGCTGTTTGTGATAGGATAATGTCTACCCCAATTCAAGGAAATCCAATCAATGCAATTATTATTTAAATGTACACACAAACCATAAAAACTGGTGATGCAAATTGAAGAATTCTACCAATATCTTCCATCTGAAATTGATCAAGATGCATTGGTAATTATTGGCGACAGGAATGCAAAAACTGGAAATGAAGAAGAAGGAAAAATAGTTGGATAATATGGTCTTGGCGATAGAAATGAAACTGGAGATCATATGATCACAAGACGAGTTCTTCATTTGAAATCTCTTGTTTCAACAATGAAAAACAGGACT